TAATTGTGTATACTATGAGAATAAGAAAGTGAGACTTAGAGCATATAATGGGAACATGATTGCAACCAAAGGTATTTGTGCAGTGCATGTTAGACACAAGTTTAATGTAGCAAAAGTTCAGTTTGTAACAGTCCCAATAAAGCTAGTGCCAATTATTGATTTGTAAACGTGTAAAACTCTATGTTTGATTAAGAGAATGGATGCCCTTGAGGGACTAGAAAGCAAGAACATAGAAGAAGAGTTTTATGATGTGTTTCAAGGCATAGGGAAATTGTCAAATGAGTACAAGATAGAATTAAGAGAACCAAATACTTCCACCATACATGCTCCAAGACATGTTCCACTTGTGCTAAGGGAGAAACTGGAAAAGGAATTAGATTACTTAACATGCGCATACTAGAAAAACTAGAGCAACCAAGTGCTTGGGTTCATGCACTTGTCATAATAGAAAAAAAAGATGGATCTATCCTTGAGATTGTGTCTGGATCTTAAACAATTGAACAGTTACATCAAAAGGAGTATTCTTCCATTCCCACCAGGGAAGAGGTTTTTGGCAACATGGCAGAAGCTATATATTTCTCCACTTTGGATGCGTCTCCTGGGTTTTGGCAAGTTCCCCTAGAAAAGAATATCACTAGATTATGTACCTTCAGTACGCCCTTCAGAAGGTATTGTTTTCATAGGCTTTCTTTTAGACTGTGTTCTGCATCTGAAGTGTTTCACAGAAAGGTGCAACAAACTTAAGAAATGTCATATATTCATCTATGGGAAGCCTGTCATAGACGAAAATGATCATACACCTTTGGTAACTATAGCAAAGAAAGGCTTATCAGACATGCCATCCAGATTAGAGAGACCTTTCTTTCAACTGCAAATGTATAATCTAGACATACAGTTCACACCAGGAAAGCACCTACTTATTGCAGGTACATTGTCCAGAACATATTACACAAGAAAAATGACAGAATTCCAGACTCAGACATAGTACATGTTAATTTCATTAAAAGAGTGATTCCCATCACAGGTATGTCAGAACCCATTAATTAGATGCCTATAGCCCAGAGGAGAATTGGTATAGCCCAGAGGAGAATTGGTATAGCCCAGAGGAGAAATGACATAGCACAGAGGAAAATTCCATGGGTTCGATACATATGGCATAGTTTTGCTGTCAGTCATTCTGGTGGCAGTAACTAGGTCATGGAGGAAAATTCCGCTATGCCTGAACCCAGTAACCAAATGCTACAGTAGTGGAAAATTACAGTTTAGAAAAAAGTTCCCGCCACTCATATGCAAATTCACATTATTATTGGCCAGTTTTAAATTATTCCTACATGGCTACCAGCGATTGGCTTGCTAGCCGTATAAGAGGTTGAAGCAGTTTCCGCCCAAGTTGGAGGACTCCACATACATCTCGTGGAGAACTCTGAGTACACTGTGGAGCCTAGCAAACTCCACGCGTGTTTCAGAGCGAACTTAGCGGCCTGATCAACCTCTAAGGACTCCCCGTCACCGACCCAAGGGGGCCCAGCACACCGCCACCCGAGACGTAAGACGACTGCCGGCTTGAACACCCCAAACACCCCGAACACATTTGCAGACCGACCAAACCAACTTTGTAATTTCTGCCTGACCCAAGTTTTGTTTACAACTGTAATCGAAGCAAGCTTCTGGCCTGCGCTGTACGAGCAGTGTAAGTAAACAATCTTTTTGTTCAATCAAAACGCCTGAGTACCTGATTCCACTCCAAGCGTCACAAGTACCCACCCGCCGACTAGGGCTCCTAAGGCCCCGAAACCCGCGCCGCGGCTCTCGGCGGCGACAAGATAAAATGTGGGCCCTAATTGCAGAAGCTACGGCTCAGGGCACACGCTGCAAAAAGTGGTAACGGCTATTTCTGCTGGTTGGCCTGGAAAACATACCTAGCCCCTGCTATCAGTTCAAGGAAAAGCTGTCAGTACTGCATGGCATTTTGTTTAAAGGTTCACAAATTGTTATTCCAGCAGTGCTAAAGAAAGATGTTAAACAGAATACATGGAGGGGCTCTAGGCATTGAAAAATGCAAAAGGAGAGCAAGGGGTGGCTCTATATTGACCCAACATAAATAATGATATAGACAGTGCTGTAAAGGCTTGTACAATGTTCCTACAATACAGATCAGCACAAAGAAAAGAGTCCATGATGGTCGCGGAGGAGCCCATAGCTCCACAGTATCAAGTGGGCATTGACTTTTCATGCATCCAGGAAAAAATGATGTATTACTGCTGGATTATTATTGTCACTACCCTGAAACTACATTGTTTGAAAGCACAACGGCAACCCATGTCATAACTCATATCAAAAGGATTTTTGCTAGACATGAGTTTCCACAAATTGCGAAAATAGACAATGGACCTCAATTCAACTGTATTCATTTTAAAGAGTTGGCAAACAAATATGGATGCTGTCAAAACACTTCAAGTGCAGGATACGCTAGGATATCTAGTGGTCACACCAGACGACAAAGCTAACCTCTTTAACAATTTCTTTGCCTCCATCTTTTTGAGCAGGGATCGGGGCATCCCCCACACCAGGATCCCCGACAGACCCAGGGGAGGCGCTGCCAGGCTTGGGGCCAGTGAGGACCTAGTCAGGGAACTTCTGGTGGGACTAGACATGTTCAAATCAGCAGGTCCTGATGATCTCCACCCCAGAGTGCTGAGGGAATTAGCAGAGGTCATTGCGGGACCCCTGGCACAACTTTACAAGCACTCGTGGTGCTCCGGTGAGGTGCCAGAGGACTGGAAAAGGGTCAATGTGGTCCCCATTTTCAAAAAAGGGAGGAAGGAGGACCCAGGAAACTACAGGCCTGTTAGTCTTACCTCAGTCCTGGGGAAACTCTTTGAGAAAATTATCCAGGAGCACATCTGCAGGGGACCAGCAGGGGAGATTATGCTCAGGGGCAATCAACATGGGTTCATTCAAGGCAGGTCCTGTCAGACCAACCTGGTGGCCTTCTACGACCAGGTCACAAAATCCTTGGATGCAGGTGTCACGGTGGACGTATTCTTTCTGGACTTTAGGAAGGCCTTCAACACTGTCTCTCCCCCCATTCTCATTAAAAAATTAGGCAACTGTGGCTTCAAAGCCTACACAGTCAAATGGGTCGCAAATTGGCTGGAGGGTCACACCCAGAGAGTGGTGGTGGATGGGTCATTTTTGACCAGGAGGGATGTGGGCAGTGAGGTTCCCCAGGGCTCAGTCCTTGGGCCCGCACTGTTCAACATCATCAGCGACTTGGACAAGGGGGTGAAAAGCACCTTGTTCAAATTCACAGATGACACAAAGATGTGGGGAGAAGTGGACACACTGGAGGAGAGGGACAGGCTGCAACTAGATCTAGACAGGTTACAGAGGTGGGTGGATGAGACTAGGATGGGATGCAATACTGACAAGTGCAAGTTATTGCACCTAGGGCTGCAGTTGGAGTACTGCAGTTGGAGTACTGTGTCCAGTTCTGGGTGCTGCACTTCAGGAGGGATGTGGACGGCATCCAAAGGAGGGCCACTCGCATGATCAGGGGGCAGCAAGGCAGGCCCTACGAGTGGAGGCTACGGGACCTGAACCTGTTCAGCCTCCACAAGAGAAGGCTGAGGGGGGATCTGGTGGCTGCCTACAAACTGGCCAAGGGGAACCAGCAGGCAATGGGAGAGTCCCTGTTCCCCCAAGCACTATGGGGAGTAACAAGGAATAACTGCCATAAGTTGACTGAGAGTAGATTCAGGCTAGATATCAGGAGGCACTACTTCACAGTCACTGCTTCACGGCTAGGATCTGGAACCAACTTCCAAGGGAAGTGGTGCTTGCTCCTACCCTGGGGGTCTTCAAAAGGAGGCTAGATAATCAGCTAGTTGGGGTCATTTGACCCTAGCATCCTTTCCTGCCCATGGCAGGGGGTCGGACTTGATGATCTGCTCAGGTCCCTTCCAACCCTACCAACTATGAAACTATGAAACTAAGACGCCCTAGATACCCACAATCCAATGGTTTGGTGGAAAACGGAGTACATATAATGAAGAAATTGTTGAAAAAAGCTACAAATTCACACAATGATGTTTACCTGTCAGTCTTAAATTACAGGTCAACACCCATGAAACATGGATTGTCCCCAGCAGAAATGCTGCTTAACAGGAAACTCAAAATCAGGCTGCCAAACATTGTGAATGATGCTCATCAGAATGAAAAGCAAAAAGTGAAAACATTTTTAAAATTCAACAAACTCAAACAGTACTATGGCAGGGGTTCCAGGGAGGTACCACAACTCCACAACAAAGATACGATGCTTATTTCAGATGGACAAACATGGAAACAAGAAGCACTTATTTCCCATCAAATAGCTCCCAGACCCTATAAAGTAGTCACATTGGAAGGACAGATGTTAAGAAGGAGCAGGCAACACTTGCAGCTCATAAAGGGGAGAAAAGAAGCAGCATCACAAGATTCACAAAAGGAAACAGAGCTAACAACAAAGCAAAAAGAACTGATAGAAGAGATTAAAAATGACACAGAAGTAGAGACATCTGAACAAGGAAACCAAACAAGAACTGAACCAATAAGGACTGAGAATGTAGAGAAACTGCAAAGGTAACTTAGAGCTAAAAACCCAACACAAAGACTAATAGAGACCCATTAAAATGTGCTTCAACAATGGATTGAACTAAACTTCCAATGTTAGTATTGTATGGGCTATGTTACATGTAAAGGAAGAATATGTGGATACCTTTAAGAGTGTTAGGTATCAGTTGGTACATTTGCCAGGGGAAAGTGGGGAGAGCAGGGAAGATCATCAGGCTAAGAGGGCTCTCTGAATAAACAAGCTTTATTGTTCTATAAGCTTAACTCCTTGGTCTTTTGAGAACAACACAAGCTTGAAGTGAAAATGGAATATAATGCGTAAGATTTATTACCAATTTTCTTCTTACGGCAGGAGAAGTTGACTTTTCACAGAAATACAGAGGACTGACCTTTGGGATAATATATTGTCTAAACCTGGTGTCCCTGGTCACAGCACGTGGAACATTCAACGGCAAAAGACTCATCAATCTCTGGATCTCATGTACCACAGCATCCGTGTAGGGCATCTGACCTCGATCAGCCATGCAGGGTTGCCGGGAACGGCCAATCACACAGTCAATTTCTTTGTGAATTTTCTCTGTTGTGAAATGAATGAGAATTAACACAACTGTAAAAGAAGATTTGCCACAAGATTTGCCCAGACTTCTACCATATGGCCAGCCACTTGTCTGTGACAGATACGCAAAGTACAAAACTGGCTGGTTTTGTGTTGCCTAAGCAACTATATAACAATATGGCAATAATGACACTCTGTTATATTACAAAAAAGTGACACCCTGTTATATTACAAAAAAGAATACAATGTAATATTACTCCTGGTGTCTATAACACACAGCTAGACACAAGAAAGACACATGAAATTTTCCCCTACAAAAGTTACCCATACATCAGAAACTGGAGGGAGCCCCTGAGGAAGGAATTAGCTCTACATCTAGCTACTAAGGCTGTGCGAAATTTCGATGGGTGTTTCATTTTGAAGCTGTTTCAACATGTTTTGAGCCCAAAACAGCAAAATCAAAATGAAACGAAAGGGTCTGAAACAGCCTCAAAACGAAACGAGGGTACTCGAAACCTTTCAAAAGTTTCAAAATGTTTTGAGTTTTGAAGCTGGGCTAGCTTACAGCTAAACAGAAACTAAGGAGAAGGAGGAGGAAGAGGAGGGAAGGACTGCTCTGATATTTACATGTGTAGCTGATCAGTGACTGTGATCCTTCCCTAAGGTCCCTTCCAATCCCAGTGCACTCGGGGAAGGATGGAAAAACAGCAATAAGCATTGTTTGAACTGAGCTTTCTCTGTCTTGGAGTCAGCTTACCAAGCTCTCTCTCCCAGCAGCTGAGCAGCATCAGCACCTATGCACCCATCTCCTTGAAACCCCTGCACCTATCTTCTTGAAACCTGACAGGCTTTATGGCCTTAGCAGGAGCTACCATACCTGCTGTTTTCACTCGAATCAGGAAAGAAATGACAAAGTTATAGGCATTTATGTGATTCCCCATTATAGCCTATGGGTGAAACTTCAAAACGCGTTGAAAATGCATCAAAACAGTAAAACGGTTTCAACGAAACGAAAAGGAACAGTGCTTTGAAACAGCAAAATGAAACACTGTCCCTTTGAAACAGCTAAATGGAAATTGAAACGAAACGGTGTTGTTTAGTACAGCCCTACTAGCTACCCTTTCAGTAGTCACTAGCACTAGCAGAGCCTGACATGAACAAGTGGATCCAATCCAAAGATGAAATTATTATGTCTTTACTCAAAGGGAAGCTACTTGTTTCATAGCCCTTGAATATAAAGGTATCTGTTATCTACAGTATAGGTGTAACCTGTTCAGTGGGGGTGCATGCTTCTGCCAGAGAATTACACACACCATGACCTATAATTCCCTCTAGCGGTGCGAGAGAAATTAACTCACAATAGCTTGTTCAGTCCTTTGATGTTGTCTTGAGACTCTAAATAACAGGGCCAATAATAATGCAAAGGGATGCTCTTTGTGAAAAGAACAGCCATTGGCTGAAAACTAAATTAAGATGTATGCATGCATTGCACACAATTCCTACTTAACTTTATGTAAGACACTGAACAGCCATACCACTATGGCAACATTGCTAACCCATATTTGATTTGATCTTGTGACATAAAGAAAGAAGCTCCATGTTTCTTTTATATATTGTTGTGTCATGGAGTTCCCACACCTCTACAGCCCTCAAATTTGTGTGTGTACATACATGTGCTAGGTACCTTCTATCTCTGGGTATTTTAGGAGAGTCAAAAGTCCATAATCCAATGTGAGACTGGTTGTTCCTGTTCCTGCAAGGAACAAGTCTACTGTGCTTCTTACCAAAGTTTCAGTGTTAAATTTTGAGTCGATGTTTTCTTTTTCCTGCAGAAAGATGTGTACAGTTTTTTATCATTGAGTTTAAAGGGCCAGAAACTTATTTACAAAGGTCAAAAAAACCTTGCATCCAAAATAATGGCCGCCTAGCATCCTTTTAACAATACTGCATTAATTATCTCCAAACACTAAACATTACAATAGCATTACTGTAGAATACTGTAGAGGGAGGCACTTAGCCATGTCAGTCTGAAGTCCAACAGAACGCAGAGCAGGGCGTACATTAAAGACTAAGTCATTCAGAAAAGCATGAGTTTTTGTAGGCTACAGCCTGTTGATGAAGTAGTTTGCTGAAAAACCTGTAGACTATGAGAACATATAGCATTCTGACTGAATTATTCCTAAGGCGCTTCTCTGCTGTGCCTTCTATAAAATATTGTGTAATATCGTTATTCTTTTTTTAAGGAGTGAGAAGTGGAGAACTGTATTCACCAAGTTAATTTTCATGTTTATTTTTACTTTTTATCATTCGGCAGTTCTGTCTGTCATTGCTGATTTTCTTGGCTTTTGTATTATGTTTACCTTAACATTTTGTTATAAAAAAGGTTATCAAATGTTTCTGATCTTTTCATAGAATGGAGAGGTATCAATTCAGACTGAGGAGCAAAGGAAAGTGCACTTCTTTCTAAAATGCAAATGATTCCGAATGCTGAAATGGTTGAACTCAAAATAATGTTGTTTTTATAAACTGAAGCGTCATCACGCTTACATTACCTGCTCCATTTTGACGAGAAAAGCATCAATAAAGTCCCGAGGGCAGGTGGGATCCAGAGACAGCTGGTGAATTTTCACTCTGTCCAGAATAAAGTTGTGAATTTCCTCAAAATTTTTAAATGCTCTTTGGTGCGGTCCAGGTAAGAAATTCATGACAGTTGGAAGAAAATTGTATAGCTGTCAAGAAGGAAAGGAACATAGTTTGGTTAGTTTGGACACAAGGGGCGCGTCCACACGAGCGCACACATGCTTCTTGCCCTGCCTCAAACCCCTTTGAGACGGGGCAGCAAGCACATGCGGGAACAAGAATATGTTCCCTGCTCTGCAAACTTGCAGTGCAGGGAGAAAAATCAATGTCTAAAAAAGTGGAGCAGGCAACCGGAGGCTGGGTCCTCCACAGAGACACTCAGGCTGCCAGAGCGTCTCTATGGTTGACCCTCACCCTGGTGCTGAAACACATGGCCGGCCAGGCCTCATGTTTCAGCACCAGGGCTCTGGTGCTAGGAGTAAGGGGTCAGGGGGC